TGATACTCAACCTCCTATCTCTTTGTGATTTTGGTTGCTTGACATATGTCACTTACAGATGTGATTCATGTGTCTATGTAACACAGTCCACAGTGTTTGTGTTATTCCATGTTTTTTTTATCTGATTGATACTCAACCTTCTAATGTTGACGACGATTTGTGGAACCTTGTCTATCCGGTTGAGGTTGGGTATATAGGTAGCTAAGTCAGGTTTTTTTTTACTATGGATTGCACCTCTAAGACTGAATTACACTTGTGCACATCCTTTTTTTCTGCTCATATCAAGTTCATTTTCTTCTTCCAAAAGTAGTGCAGTGCCACACATGTGTGCTTCAGTTCATCTCGGAGAACACACCTGTTCATTCTGGGCTTATGCTTGCTGCTTGGTTTCAATGTTTTGCACCTACACTGGCCCCTCCACCTTTAGAGTGTGGGATTCTAGCTTTGTATGAGAAGTTAACATTTTTCTTGGACTGAAAATGTATTTCCTGTAGGTATTTATTTCTTATCCTTTCTTCCCACTGCTGGTGTTATTATTTTAGATCCAGCCAATTCTCGAAAATGAAGATTGAGTGGGAATAGCAGAGGGAGTTAGCTGTGCCAATATAGGTGGCAAAATACTATTGGTGGAAAGTAGTCACATGATATATACATGTTCAATAGTTGCACGAAATTGTTGGGGTAGATAGAGTAGTACCCTAAGTGTGAAAATTATTTTGGCAATGCTTAGAGGGCAGAAAGAAGATCAAAATAGCTTTGTGTGAGTGAGGTAAGTACCTATCAGAAATACATTTCAGTGTAAGAAAATGTTAATATTCATTCTAGCATTTGTGCTGTTAAAAATTAATGTTACATTACTTTGGTCCTCAGTAATTTCCAAGTGGAACTCCTTTATACAAAGTATTATATTACTCTGAATATATTCAGTGATTTACATGTAGTTTTCTAAGTAGAGTACTTACAGAGTTGGTTTCTGAATATTATAATGAGAATAGAACTTGTGTTAAAACTAGTTCCTTTAATATCAAGACTTCTGATATTTCCTTCTGATTACTGTAGCTTTTCTTGGTTTTGTTTTCTAACTGCTACACGCAATATTATATTATTTTTATTAGTTATTATTTTATTGTTTTTATTTAATAGTTTTAGTTTAGAGGATGGGACAGCCTAGATGACAAACAGATCCCTTGTTGTCCCTAAATATTAAGCTATGTTATGAAAGCATTTCTTAAAATTTGATGTGTTTGGATATATTTAAGATGTTTATTTTTAATTAACTTTGTTTAATGTGATTAATGTAACCAAAGTAAACGAAAAGATACAGTGTTTTTTTGTTGTTGCACAGTTAATTGTTATGTATATACATAGTGTATATTTCAGTATTAAGCACAGAGTGGAAATTCATATGTAGTTTATGTATCATCGGCTAGATATTATAGCAGTTTAGCAAACAAAATCTTTATATTTAACCTATTCTTATGAGAAGTAAGGTTTGGTTTTACTGTGAGTCTTAGTACTGAGAAAGCACTTATTTTATTGAATATGTATTTGAATATTATGTAAAGTATCTCCTTTTCCAGGCTGTTGAGAAGCTAAAAGTTAGTCACAGTTTAAATGCATCATGTGTTAAGCTATTACAAGCTGTGTTGGAGAAGGTTAGAAGAAATTGTCGTGTTCAAGAGTCTGCATGCCATGCCTTTTTATTGGTTGATTGTAAGATATTAGCACTATACTCAAGGTGTGTATGCACATTGGAATGTGTTCTTATGCATGTTTCTCTTAATAAAATATTTAAATACAAACTTTTTTTTTATTGCATGTGTCTATTGAGATGTTTTTGTTTTTAAGTTTACGTGCAGTTTTGTAATTTTTCAATGTATTCTGGGATCAAATCTGGTGCCTCATTGCTACCAGCTGGGTGCTTTGTCTATTAACCTAAAGTGTTAATTAACTCCCTGACAGCTGTTAAGATAGCAAAATTTAGCAACTTAAACTACTTCATGTATATAGAAATGTTTTTATATTGTGTGTTTCTGTTAACATTTTTATTAAATTCTGTGTGTAGTATGAACTTTTTTACATAAGTTAGGTTAACGTAACCATAGTGAGTGGTTTAGTCAAACCTTACTTATGTAGGAAAGTATAAAAGAGTTATTTTTTAGGTAACAAATCTTGCGAAGTCATTAGCTAAAGGAACCATTTGCATTTTTTCCCAACATGAATTTTAAGTACATGTATTTGAATATACTACTGTTAAAAGTGCCTTTATTTTTTAATTTGGATGTTAGTCGAAATGCCAGTGAACTTGATAAAACTGACCTGTTCCTGCTCATCTTGCTGACACAAGTGCTTCAACTAGATAAACTAAAGGAAACTGATAGCGATACAGCAGAACAAAAGGTGTCTACGGATAATGCCAGCAGTTTCCAGTCATATTCAGAGACTGAAAGTGACAAGGTTGAAAGCAGTTTACATAATTTTTTTTTTCCATATTAGAAAGTGAGAAACTGTAAAACACAATATAGAACATTACATTTTCAGAATTTTCCAGAATCATTGTGAGCTTCCAGGTCTTTATATTAGATATTAAACTGGCATAAGCCTGTTACTTACTATTCTAATGACACAGAAACTTAGCTTGCTTGAAATTTTGTTGGGGTTTTTTGATCTGCAAGGTTAGCCTGAAGTTGTCATTGTGTTTCTCCAAATTTTTTCCTATGAAGTTATGTGTCAGCCTCTACATCTGTTGAAGCTAAACTTGCTTGGTATTCAAAAACTGAACAAATCTGTGAGATAAACATGAGCTTTAAGAAAGGTAGTTTCCAAACTGATTCATAATTTTACAGTTTTGTTACAGATCATCAGTTTTGTATCTTACAGTGTTATTTGAATACACAAGACATTTACATTTAACAACATTTTTTTTCACTTAAAAAACTTAAGAGTTTAATACTGTTATCTGTTATCATTAATGGGGTTAATAATGTCATCTGTTAATGAAGACCTGTGTTGGTAGGATTAATATTGTCATCTGTTAACAAAGACCCATGTTTGTAGGGTTAATACTGTCACCTGTTAATGAAGACCCATGTTGGTAGGGTTAATACTGTAATCTGTTAACAAAGACCCATGTTTCTGGGGTTAATAATGTTATCTGTTAATGAAGACCCATGTTGGTAGGATTAATACTGTCATCTGTTAATGAAGACCCGTGTTGGTAGGATTAATACTGTCATCTGCTAATGAAGAGCCATGTTGGTAGGGTTAATACTGTCATCTGTTAATGAAGACCCCTGTTGGTAGGGTTCATACTGTTATCTGTTAATAAAGACCCATGCTGGTAGGGTTAATACTGTCATCTGCTAATGAAGACCCGTGTTGGTAGGGTTAATACTGTCATCCGTTAACAAAAGACCCATGTTTGTAGGGTTAATACTGTCATCTGTTAATGAAGACCCATGTTGGTAGGGTTAATACTGTCACCTGTTAATGAAGACCCATGTTTGTAGGGTTAATACTGTCACCTGTTAATGAAGACCCGTGCTGGTAGGGTTAATACTGTCATCTGTTAATGTTACTTAATTGCTTTTAAGTTATACATATATGTTAACAAGAATTTCTTTTTACTGTTATGAATTTTGCTGTTAATGGTCCATGGTATTTAAAAAAATGTACTTTTTTTTAACTTTATTAAACTTATTGAGGGTATTGATTGATCACCTAAGTTTTCACCTTTACAAACTCATAGCAAGAATTTATTTTGGTTTAAAAATTCTTGGTTTTTATCCTGCACATAAAACTTGTTAAACATAAGCTTTTTGTATGTTATTGATTCATAGTACTTGTTATTAATTCTACTATTTTCATGCATTTCCAGAAAACATCTGTTTCTGATAAATCTGAATCCCAGGTTCCAACAGAGGAGTTGGGTAAGAAACTAATTATTATCAGCTGGGATATATTACAGTAAAGAGTTCAAACATTTAGTAGTAGTAGTAGTAAAATAAAAACAAATATATATAAAACCATAAACAAAGTGTACATTCTAGAGCTTATTTTTCACTTTCATCAAAGTGCTAAATTCATTTTTACATTGGGCTGAGCATGGCCTAGTGATTAGCATTCTGAACTATGGACCTGCAGGTCCATAATGTGTCCTGTTATGGAACATGTAATTGTGCTGCACATGTCAGATCCATGATGGTTTATAAGGATGATAGTCAAATCCCACTATTTGGTCAGACAAATGTAACCCAAAGACATTTTTTTACTAAAAAAAAATATGTGCAATATATATACAAAGAAATTGCTAGACATAGAATGAAAATGTTAACAATAACAAAAGGTTTTGCCAGTTTTAACATGGCATTAACAAGTATATTTTACAGAGGACAGCACATTTCAGTGCACTTTGTAGTGGACATCAAAGAAATATTTCATTTTTACTCGTATTGCTTTTATCAGTTAACCAAAATTACTTTCATTTTTTCTGTTCACTTAAAATACATGAATGACCAGAAATGTTTTCTGTAGGTTTACTGTTTTATTTTCTTTACAGTGCTTTATATCTTTAAAATGCTGATAAACATGGCCTGGCATGGCCAGATGGTTAGGGCACTTGACTCGCAGGTTGCGGGTCTGAATCTCTGTCCAACCAAACATTCTTGCACTTTCACGTATGGAGGCATTATAATATGATGGTCAATCCCACTATTCATTGGTAAAAGGGTAGCCCAAGAGTTGGCAGTGGGTGGGGATGACTAGCTGCCTTCCCTCTAGTCTATCACTGCTATATTTGGGACAGCTAGCGTAGATAGCACTCGTGTAGCTTTGGGTGAAATTCAAACCAAACTGATAGACATGTGATGGTATCTATCTATGTTCTTCATGCAGTTACACTCACCTTGGTGTCCTGTATCTTTTAAATGGTGGTAAATGTGTGATTGGGTATATCCATGTTCTTCGTGAAATATTACAAAAACAAGTTTCTGTAGCCATACAAATTGACATCTTTGTTTGTTTTTGAAGCTTTTCAAATCCAATGGAAGACTTGTTTAACAGAATTTGCATGAGGTCTGTCAAATATTGGAGAAGAAATGTTGAATATAATTTCGAATTTACTTCTTCTATCAACACAAAATTTGGCAAGTGTTAAGTAAAATGTACAAAATCTGTAATACACAAAATAATCAGATGTGTTATGACATTTATATACTCAAGATATGTCTCTGATCTGTAATATACAAAACAATCAGATGTGTTATGACATATATATACTCAAGATATGTCTGATCTGTAATATACAAAATAATCAGATGTGTTATGACATATATGTACTCAAGATATGTCTCTGATCTGTAATATACAAAATAATCAGATGTGTTATGACATATATATACTCAAGATTTGTCTCTGAATTGATGATGCCAAAATGACTCTGGTTTTTTTCCAGGTGATGTTTGTGTGAAAAATAAGAATAATACTTTTGTTCACTGTAAAGTGATATTTATTGCTGTTGTTTTTTTTAGTATCCGTGTATATTATATTCATTGTGATAACTGTGGCATCAAATATATAATATTACGTTGAATGGCATTCTGTGAAAGGTCGTGACATGTACACTGTGACCCTCACCCATTCACATAGGGGTTAGTATATACTTTGACATAACATAAGCCAGTAATATTTTGAAAATTAAATAATTGAATGAATAACTTACTTTTGAAACGTAATTTCCTTTTTATAAAAATTTTTTTATGTTTTGTGTGTATTACATCAAGCAGGTAAACAGAAATGCAAAAGTTTGAAATGAATTGTTAAATAGCTTTTTTTTATTGTTAGGTTTTAGAGGTAATGTACAATTATATGTTTTCATAAATTATGTAGTTTCTTTTTACAACAAACTGTATTTTGTTTCCAGGAAATGTTACTTGTGGAATTGAAGTGGTGAGTGCACATCTGTGGTTGATAATTGCTGTTTGTTTTTGATAAATTTAATTTTTTTTTGTATTCTTTAAGCATTATGTTATATTAGACTGTTTTGGTTTGTTCATCTGATTTTGTAGTCCCATATTTCTTTTATTTATATATATTTATTTTTTTAATGTCAGTCAGCAAAAAAAAAAAAAAAAAAGAAAAATTCTAATTTGTGATCCCCATCAGTAATTACTCGACTAATATTTTAGTAATTTATCTATTGTTTTTATTTAAATGTTGTTTTTAACCAAAGCAGTAACATTTTGACGGTGTGTCAGCATAGTTATTGACATCTGTGATGCACGTTGAGAGCTTATTTGTGTCTTGTATATTATTAATACAGAATCTAAATATTTTTTTTTTTTATTTTAGACAGAAGAAAACTGCAAGAGCGGTATTTTTACTGCTGTTACAGAACTGCAACACTTACTTGTTTTCTTGAAATCTTGTTTTGAAACAGCTATCCCATACATGGTTCATACTGTCACTGTATTGGATCATCTTGTGTTAGTGATTGTTGGAGAGGTAAAGTGAACATCTAGTATTAGTGATCGTTAGAGCAGTAAGGATTGTTAGCCAGATCGTAGTTGTGAGAGAAGAAAATGTTGTTATTGGTTACCTAGTATTAGTGATCGTTATTGTCATCTTGTTACTGATACTAATGAGCAAGTGTCATCTTGTTACTGATACTAATGAGCAAGTGTCATCTTGTTACTGATACTAATGAGCAAGTGTCATGTTGTTACTGATACTAATGAGCAAGTGTCATATTGTTACTGATACTAATGAGCAAGTATCACATTATTACTGATACTAATGAGCAAGTGTCATATTGTTACTGATACTAATGAGCAAGTATCACATTATTACTGTTACTAATGAGCAAGTATCATATTATTACTGATACTAATGAGCAAGTGTCACATTGTTACTGATACTAATGAGCAAGTGTCACATTGTTACTGATACTAATG